TGTTCCATGTGTCCACAGTGCTCTTAAGGCTAGGTATATCCTTGAGCACAACCCTGTTGGATGTGGGTAGGTGCACTGTCAGGGAATTTCCTCTGTCAGTGTTTGGGTTAGTTCTGAATGCCCTGTGTTCCCCTTTAATGGTCATTCTACTCTGTTCTTGACTTTTTTTGATTGTTGTTTCTCACCCCTGGCAACATTTACATCTCGTTTTTTCTGTTTATGTAACTATCTCCCCCTTGTCTCTAGATTTCTCCAGTAAATACCAGTTCACTTACAGGCTGTATCCTCATATTCTTCTCATATGGCAAGTAACCAGGTGAAGAAGGCTGCCCTAGCCAGGGATGGAGTGGTTAATTTCCTACGCTGGAATGTAAATGGCCTTAACTCACCGATCAAAAGAAATAAGGTATTTAAACGTATTCAGAGTTTTGGTGAGGATGTGTTGTTTCTACAAGAAACACATCTTAAATTAAACCAACACCATCGCCTTCACAGGCCCTGGATCTCACAAATCTTCCATTCAAAATTTCAGAGTAGGGCCAGGGGTGTAGCCATCCTCATCCGAAACAATGTGCAGTTCAGCCCTTCATCTACAGTAGCTAAAGCACTGATGGAAGAGACAGGCAAAGGAACTGGATCTGTTGTAAATGAGCATGTAAAATAATAATATTCAAAGTTCATGTAAATAAGCAAATGCAACATGATTCTTTGTTGTTGCTCATTTCATGAAGAAATCATTTCTAGTGTATTGTCCATGTAGAAACCCAGGTGTCATTAATACATATTTGACTTTTATCACTGTAAATAAGATCCCATGAGGTTGAAACTGGTTGCTCTTTTAAACTAAGATGTCCAACTGGATGGAAGCTTTAACTTTTGTCTTTCCACCACCTTCAGTGCCTGAACAATAGTTTCAGCTAAACTCAGTAGAAATCCTCTTACCATAATAGCAGACTGCAGGTCTTTGTTCCGAACATGAATAGTCAAGCCATCATCCTACTTGGTTCATCACAGTGCAGTTTTCCTTTGAGTACTGATTGTTAGGCTCATTTGGTACCCAGTTGCTGAAATCTGTATCGCTGTTGAAGTCTGCATTTCCCAGCATCCACTTCCATCTGGTCAGGTCATCATAAAGTCCTATCCATGCATATTCTCCATCGCCCTGTAATATACTCTACAGCCTGTCTTGGTCATCTTGATTTTCTACAGTGGCGAGGTCAGTGAACGTCTCTCTGCAGTAACTCTGAGCTTCAGCCCAGGTCTTCAACATCTTCACATAGCGATACTCTCTGATGCTGTTTGTAGACAGTGCAGACAACCCTGATGGATAAAGGACTGCTTTTCATTTGCACTTATGTATTCTACTGTAATACAATAACTATGCAACAAATACAACCATTGTTAAATGTTAAATGATCACTTTTGGAGATTGTCGGAGAGCTACTGTGATTCAATTCTGTAAAAACTGGAGGTGACTTTGATCCTTTAAACACAATTTTCACACACACTTACTTCTGACCTGAGAGAATGAGGACAAACAGTAGTTTCTTCTTCATCCTGGAAACAGAAACATGCACAACACATTAATTTCTCCTCAACATACAAAAGAGAGCAACTTGTGTTTTGTACAAAAACTAACAGAATATTGGTTTTGCCTAAACCAGTGTTTGTCAAACTTTTTACACCATGTACCACCTCAGAAAATATCGACCCATTCTGCTACAGACAGGTCACGCAGGAGACACGTTTATTCCTAATAAGTCTATTTATTGTTGAACCAGTTCAAGAACCAGAGTTAATTAGGTGGAAAAGGGGTACTACTGATCCACAGTTCTCCATTCATTGTACGTCCACTTATTAAACAGAATATTACAGGTAATGCAAAACCTATTTTAAATTACATTTCAGCAATCTCATGGTTTAGTTGAAATTTAGTAGTATTTTGAAAGTATATGTTTTTAAATTCATTAATTTTATTTTTTAAGGACCTAGTAGCTGCTGTACCATAATTTGAGAACCAGTGGCGTAAACAAAATCTTCTAATCTCATAATTTAATTTAATGCATTGGATTAGTGTTAGCCAAATTTGGTAATAGTAAGTTTTGAATCTTGGCATGATTGCTTAAGTGTTACTGATATAGAAGGTTGACATCCAACTTTACTTCTAGATTTACATTTTATAAATTTTTCATACATATGACAGGTCTAATTCTTGTTTTCTAGGTAGAGCAAACAATTTCAGTGCTATAATAAAAGATACAAAATCAGTAGACCTACCTGTAGAGTTCCAGCTTTTGTGTCCGCAGTTTGTTCCGACACATGTTAAACCTTCAGTAAGTATTCACTCACTCTTATTCAGTTTCTCCCTCCTTTTCTAAAGTAATTATGCAAACCCACTGTCATTAATTTGCTCCAGACTTTAGTAAACAGGATTAAGAAAGATACAAATCAGGCTGGTGAAATTGAGCGAGTGTTCTTTTTCTCAACCCGTAAAGGAACATGGAATGTCTCAGGTTATCAGAAAAATTCAAAATGACTAAATGTGGACATTTTCACTGGACAGGAGAGTTATGAAGGACTGCAGTCTGATAAGTAACTTGTAAATAAAGCTAATAGTCGAGTTAAAAGTACAATATTTGCAGTCTAGTAGAGCAGATGTATAGAGTACTTTCAGTTTGTATTTAAGTACAGTACCACTTTTGTGTTTTAAATGCAATGTTACATGAATGATGTTATATTCTTTTCTAACAAATGTTGTTTCATTGCAGCAACAGTATTGTCTTACACTGTATGTCATTGTGTGCTGGACATTTGTAGGCACCTGTCAGGAAATGGACATCTTAACTAAAGAGGATCCATTTCGACTCATCGTCTGCGTTGTTTCTCAGACCGGGACCCATATTTGCTTTCTATTAGTGGTTTAGGAAATCCCAAAATAATTATGTAAAAACCAGCCTCTTCGTTTCATTGGTGGTGAGCAGAGCTTGAACTTTATTTTCATGCACCATCAGGTGGTGAAATGAAGCATGCAACCTTCTGCTCAGGGGTCATTCACACTATGTGATGTGACAGTTTACAACCATCTTAAGCACTGTACCAGAACAAATATTTATAATAAGATACAATATATGTGAGATACACCTTTATTGATCTACAGTGGGGAAATTGGGTATACTGGTAGCAAAACAATACATATAGTAAAATAAAACAACATTCCATGTCTACTTCAGTATATTTGAAAATACATAAGAAATCGACAAAAAATATATCTGCCAATATACCACTGGCAGATGGTGAATTTCAGTGTGTGGCCTTTAATTCTTGGGTGACCTCAGCCATTTGTCCAGTGAGTTAAAGCTGTCAGCTTCCAGATATGGATGGTCTCAATCTCAAGGCTGAAAGGTATGAAATAGAGCTCTAAAAACAGCTGTCTGCTGCTGTTGGAAACAACGTTATGAGCAGTGAGACAGTTAAGTTTTGGGCTGTAAAACCAAAACAATGAGCTGAGAGACACTAAAAGGCTACATAGACCTGAGAGAAACAAAGAGTTACATAGTCATTTATCAATGGTTCAGATAAAAAATATTAAAGAGAAGCTTTAACACAGGAGAGTATTCCCACGTGCTTTAAGACAAACAGCATCATAACTGTAACTAAAAAGTCTGTAGACTACCGGTCTGTGGCACTTGTATATATTGTTTGTATTTTGTTTTTTACGAGTAGCATAAATGGAAATGCACTCTGAATTTCACGATACCTTATACGTTGTTAATGACAATTAAATAACCTTAAATCCTTCAAATGTTGAAGAGTTTTAATTAAATCATTGCAACATGTCACTTTACCAACACAAATCAGCTACACACACTCCTTAAAAAATGTAAGAGGCTGCGTTTCTGTGAGAGTTTTTTTTTACATGTAACAGTGAGAAGATGAAATATGATCCACAACACCTGGTTTAAATAACAGACCCATGATGTCCTGAGCTGAATCTGGGATCCAGGCAAATTTAAATGTATCAGTATGGGCTAAAATAAAGTGGATCACAATCTGATTCTTTCTTTACTGAACTTGGATGTGTTTTGTCCACCTCAGCTTGCTAGTGTTGCAGCGCTGCTCTCTTTTACACCAGACAGCTCCACACTGTGAGCATTTCACTGGATGTGTGACTAAAAATTAGAGTGTGTGAATGTAAAACATGTTTTGATCACACCAGGGACCTCTGATGGCAGCATGGCTGTTATCTCTCCTCTTTCTCATTAGCAAAGATCAGTATAGAAAAGATTCAGCTACCAGCTTCTCACTTTTAGCCTGTGCTGACCATTGTTTTCACTGAAAAAGAATTTATCATAGGCAGTAGATTATATCATCTTATCTCTAATTAACGCTAATTCTGTGACTAACTTGATGGCAGACCAGAATCATTACAATCAAGATGGTGCTAGGGAGGGCTGCGGAGGTGTGTAGTGGGCATTGTTTTATCTTGTTTGTTAATTCAGAGTTTTGCTGTAGTAACTCACCAGAGTTAATGAACGTCAGAAAAACAACTCCGGCTGTTTTTACCAGTAAATTGTAAATAAAATATTATATTAATGATGCACCAGAACTGTGAAAAATCATAAAAAAATTTAGGGCCCCTGTTAGTCATAGGCCCTTAATAATGTCTTTTCCACCCCAATACGGCGACCCTCGTAATCAAGCTCAAAACTTTGATCAGTGCATCCCGGCCAAAACAGTACTTTATTATTCTCCATCTTGTTTATTGCAATGTAAGCAGTAAAATTACCCCTGTCTTGTTACAAAGCAGTCTACCATAAATGTACACTTGGATGTATTTAAGTATCAAATGAAGGAAATTGCCTGATGATGTAGCATTGCTTTAACATTCCATATTTAATAAAGTACCACACACACAAAATCATCCTTTGCTATAAACAAAAGATAAAACTCACTGTAAGAAATTCAATTAAATTCAATTCAATTTTATTTGTATAGCGCCAATTAATAACAGAGGTAGAGACAGAAGGACAGAGACAAAGGTGCACAGCAACAACAGTAGCAACAACTACACTAATAGTAGTGACTGATGGTGATAATGATGATGAACATGAGGAAAATGATGACGACGACGACGACAACAAACTCACAATGAAATCACAACTGATGTTAACTATGATGCTGATCATTAACAGGTTCACAAATTTCAAAGGCAGAAAAATGCTGCTAAAACATTAAACATTAAAAGATTTGGAATTTCACAAGACTTTGCAAGGACTCATAAAACATTTAAAATATGACATGTTTAAAAACATGTTTATATTTGTATGTATTTGTATATACCTAATTTCAAACCTCACTACATGTTCTCAAATCACAAGCAGGAATCTGTTTTCAGCATTTTCTAAACTGAAAACAAATATCCGGTGAAATGAACATTTTAAGTCATCAAAAAACTGTAGCTACACGGTAGGCAACTAAATACATTGAAGCCAGTTATTACTAGAATTATTAGGATTGAAACATTGTGGTAGCAGCTAAATTAGTCATTTCTTATTGGAGAGAGTTGAATTATAGAAAGACCATGATGTCCTCTGCACAATGACCTCTCAGCCACTCGACCCTAAAAGAGGAAGAAAAGCAAGTCAAGCTCAGTAAAACATCATATCTTGTTTGTTTCATTGGCCAGGATAACGCTAGCTGTTTATCAGCTTATTACCTGAACAGATATGACAGTTTTATCGATGTTCTCATCTACCTTTCAGTAAGAAAGCAAATAGGTGTATAGGTGTGTCAAAGATATTGCTTTCAATACTTTATTTAAGTATAGAAATATCTCCCTTATTTAGAAAAACTCAAACCAGAATACCTTCCTCTTCCTCCTGCTTTTGCTTGTGAAAAGTCTGTCCATCCGTCTCAACCCAGCGGAGTTTGAAGTCTGGTAATCCATGTTTCTCCAGTTTAGCATGCAGCTGCAGAGGAACAAAAATAAAAAAACTGTGAATATCACATCACAACAACCTTTACCACGTGTCTTCCTTTGCTGTTCCTCCACTGGCAGAGAATGTAATGATGAAAATAAGGACGTAATCCAGAGATTTCTAACTTTCCTGGGATTTTAATGCGTTTTATTTTATTTTGTGGAAAATTTAAATCTACACAGTGTATGGGCACTAGTGTCTTTTTTAAACATCTGTCTAAAATGAAACAGTATGTTTATTTGATAAAATGGAAGCAAATCGTAGCATGGCCTGCTTACTAGTTTACTAAAGTAGCGATAAAGTGTTACTTCCAAACCAAGGAAAATATCTTTAGCTTAGCTTTCTACAATATTTTGTGGCGGGAAAGCCACGTTCTAGCACATCTACTGAGCTAACCCCATATACCAGAATTCATGAAATAACTCATTATATAAGTAAATTTAGGGTACCTGCTCTAAAATCTGCTGCTGGACAGCAGGGTCATTCAAGTCGGCCTCAGACTGAAACTTTAACTTGAATGTCTTTTTGTGCCGAATTTTAAACTCTTCACAAATAAAATAGTGCTTTGAATTGCAGTCAACATCCCACCACGTTCCTGTGGTTGTGTTGACCGCAGCACACGATTCCATAGTGTCCCCATTGTTGTCAGGCTGGCCCTCATTCCAGTTAGTGAAGGTTGAGTGGCTCTGGTCAGACCAGTAAGCCCACAGGTTTCTGTGGAGACCGATCCAAGCTCTTTTTGGCTGCAGTGAGATGATGTGGTCATTCTCAGACCTGTTCCTCACACTGACAAGGTCTGTGTACTTGGACCTACAGAATGCCCTGGCTTCATGCCAAGTCCTCTGAGTTGTCACTAAAATGTATCTAGAAGGACCTTGTTCTGAAAGAAAACAGAATAAAAATGAGGAAAATGGGTTGGTATTTTGACTTAGAATGACAAACAATTTTGTATATATAACCTTAATAAGGGAAAGAAAGGTATACATTTACAACTTAAATACTGTCAGTAGCTAAAGCACTGATGGAAGAGACAGGCAAAGGAACTGGATCCATTGTAAATGAGCATGTAAAATAATAATATTCAAAAATCATGTAAATAAGCAAATGCAACATGATTCTTTGTTGTTGCTCATTTCATGAAGAAATAATTTCTAGTGTATTGTCCATGTAGAAACCCAGGTGTCATTAATCTACATATTTGACTATTATCACTGTAAATAAGATCCCATGAGGTTGAAACTGGTTGCTCTTTTAAACTAAGATGTCCAACTGGATGGAAGCTTTAACTTAACTTTTGTCTTTCCACCACCTTCAGTGCCTGAACAATAGTTTCAGCTAAACTCAGTAGAAATCCTCTTACCATAATAGCAGACTGCAGGTCTTTGTTCCGAACATAAATAGTCACGCCATCTTCCTACGTGGTTCATCACAGTGCAGTTTTCCTTTGAGTACTGATTGTTAGGCTCATTTGATTTCCAGTTGCTGAAATCTGTATCGCTGTTGAAGTCTGCATTTCCCAGCGTCCACTTCCATCTGGTCAGGTCATCATAAAGTCCTATCCATGCATATTCTCCATCGCCCTGTAATATACTCTGCAGCCTGTCGTGGTCATCTTGATTTTCTACAGTGGCGAGGTCAGTGAACGTCTCTCTGCAGTAACTCTGAGCTTCAGCCCAGGTCTTCAACATCTTCACATAGCGATACTCTCTGATGCTGTTTGTAGACAGTGCAGACAACCCTGATGGATAAAGGACTGCTTTTCATTTGCACTCATGTATTCTACTGTAACACAATAACCATGCAACAAATACAACCATTGTTAAATGTTAAATGATCACTTTTGGAGTCGGAGAGCTACTGTGATTCAATTCTGTACAAATTTGAATTCAATACTTTGAGATGATGTTGCACTGGATCACATTATACTGTGTTATTGCATTATAAGGGTTCATCTTACTGCATCCACCCTCTTTAAATATGTGTGTCTCACTCTGTTAAACACAATTTTCTCACACAATCACTTCTGACCTGAGAGAATGAGGACAAACAGTAGTGTCTTCTTCATCCTGGAAATAGAAACATGCATACATTAATTTCTCCTCAACATACAAAAAACAACAAGTTAGTAACACAACATTGGTTTTTCCTAAAGAATGGGATGGGATAACTTAATATTCGCATTGGATTAGTATAAGCTTTGAATCTCAGGGTGATAGCTTAAGGGTTATTTTCATAAATAGTGAAATTCTATAACATTAAATTGTATTTCTACATTTACATTTTATAAATTTTTCTTACATACTACGAGGTCCAATTCTTATTTTCGTTTAGTAGGAAACCTTTCAAATTTCTGTGCTACAACTGTCTGAGGCAGAGGTCATATCACAGAAGAAGAAGAAAAAGAAGGAGAAGAGAGAAATAAACGAGGCACAAGATCATTACCTTGTCAAGTTCAAGCTATTGTTCACACAGTTTGTTCCAACATGTCAAACCTTTAGTCAGTATTCACTTACTTTTATTCAGTTTCTCTCCTCCTTCTCTAAGGTCATTATGCAAACCCTCTGTCAAACATTTGTTCCTGACTTCTGAAAACAGGAAACATACAAATCAAGATGGTGAAATTGAGCGTGTGACCTTTAACTTTGTCATTAGGAACATTGCAGCCCAAAGACGTGTAAGCAACAGGTATTAGTCTTACCCATATAAAAGTTTATTACAGTCAGACTGGAAAATCTATCCAGTGTCTGTCCAATGTGGTGGGGAGACTGGATCATATCCCAGCATGCACTGGTGGAGAGGCAGACAGAGAGATACCATACAATTCATTACATAGCTACCTGCGTTTAACTAAAAATATGTAACTATTTAGAGCAAAATGTACTTTGTAAAGTAATAGTGTTAATCTGTAACACTGCATCACCTCACCCATTAAGTATGAATTAGTTTAATAAAGCCGAAATACCCTAAACATATAATTGAGTACAATGATTCAGTCATTATCTTTAGTTAAATTCCATATACAGTACATACAAATAGTCTAAAAAAACAAAAAGAACACTAATACGTAGCATTATGTATAGCAAGATTCTTTACTTACGTAAAAGTACTAATACCAAAGTCATTAGCCTACATTCAAAACTTTGCTTGAATAAAAGTATAATCAATAATAAATAAATAAAGTATTATCAGCAAAATGTACTTGTATTTGACTGCTTTAGATGTTTAAGGTTCAGCTCATTGTAACTATCAGTCTGTCATACTATCTATCTTTATATATGTATTTAAAATATACATATATATACGGTTAGGTAATTTAATCCACAGCAATGCATCATATTCTATAAGATCATCACATGTTTGCAGTGTGACTGTCCTGTGAAAACCACACATCACGCATGTTTTCAGCTTTATGTCAAAGCATTTTCCACCTAATGCAAGAAGTAGAAGATTTTCCTTAACCCACTGATGTTTCAGTTTATCAAAAACAATTAAAATCACTAAATGTGGACATACATGGTTTTCACTGGACAGGAAGGGGGATGAAACATTCAAATCTGAAAAGTAATTTGTAACTAAGCAAATTAAGTGGAGTAAAATTATGAAGTAATTTTTTCTACCGTAGGTTGTACTGAGGGTCCAGTATATTTTTTTCTGACAAATGTTATTTCATTGTGCCAGCGGTATTTTCTGGTCATTTGTAGGTGCATGACAGGGAATGAACATCTTAACTGAAGAGGATCCATTTCGACTCATCGTCTGCCTTTTTTCTCAGACATATTTGCTTTCTATTAGTGGTTTAGGAAATCCCAAAGTAATTATGTAAAACCAGCCTCTTCGTCTCATTGGTGGTGAGCAGAGCTTGAACTTTATTTTCATGCACCATCAGGTGGTGAAATGAAGCATGCGACCTTCTGCTCAAGGGTCATTCACACCATTATTTAGGCACAATAAATGTGACAGTTTAATTCCATCTTAAGCACTGTACCAGAACCAATATTTATAATAAGATACAATATATGTGAGATACACCTTTATTGATCTACAGTGGGGAAATTGGGTGTACTGGTAGCAAAACAATACATATAGTAAAATAAAACAACATTCCATGTCTACTTATCATATCACCTGATACCGATATATGCAGGCTTTTTACACCAAAACTGTTAAAGTAACAACATAACATATCTCCTATTGTGGAGTTAACACATTATGCCTAATTTTATTGTGATGCCCCACTGGATGCAAGCATAAATGCAACATGGCTTTCCAAATGTAAACACTGTCTGTGCAAAATAAGAGAACAACTTCAACTTTCATTGTATTAATACTGAAAAGAGCACTAACGCTAATCGCTAGCTAAGTGTTAGCTTTTGTTAATGTGTTTAATTGTATTATTATTATATATTATATATTATATATATATATTATTCACATGAAGGAGTGCTAATGTAAATTCTAAGCTAATTGTTAGTTTGGTTTAGGAACAGCTCATAGCAGGGTCAAATATTTAAGGTGCATTGCACTTATTTTGTGTTAATATTAAAATCATTCAGCTTTAAATTGTTTGCTTGTTAGCCACGGTTAGCAACCAACCAGTCTAGCTGTTTTGTTGTTGTTATACGGCATCTAGCGCGGGCCAGTAAACGTCTTATGCTGCGTTCATGCAGGCTCGGAAATGCTGAAGCCTACAGAACAAACATCGGTTATAAAAACCCGATACCGATAATTCCCGATATTACATTTTTTTGTGAATATCGGCCGACATTATCGGACATCCCTAAAAATCACTAAGTGTGGAGATACATGGTTTTCACTGGACAGGAAGGGGGATGAAACATTAAAATCTGAAAAGTAATTTGTAACTAAGCAAATGTAAAATTATAAAGTAATTTGTACTACTGTAGTTTGTACTGAGTGTCCAGTACTTTAGTAAGTTACATTCCACCACTGCTGTGTGTATGCAATGTCATGTTACATGGATGATGTTATATTCTCTTCTGACAAATGTAAGCGGTATTTCCTGGTCATTTGTTGGTCAATGACGGGAAATTAACATCTAAATTAAAGAGGATCCATTTCCACTCATCGTCTGCCTTTTTTCTCAGACTGGGACCCATATTTTAAAAACCAGCCTCTTCATCTCTTTGGTGGTGAGCAGAGCTTGAACTTTATTTTCATAGACTATCAAGTGGTGAAATGAAGCATGCAACATTCTGCATAGGGTCATTCAAAGCCTCAGAATCAAGCAATACACTCTCTTTGGATGTTTACTTTTTAATACAATAATTAGTACATTGTAAATAAAATGTTCTATTTATGATGATAGGTTGATAATTGAATGTTGAAAACATTGCTTAATATTGTAATAATGTTTTAGGCAATCAGGGACAAAACTTTGATCAGGACATCCCTGCCAAGAATGTCTACCTGAAATGTACACTTGGATGTATTTAAGTATCAAATGAAGGAAATTGCTGGATGATGTAGCATTGCTTTAACATTCCATATTTAATAAAGTACCACACACACACAAAATTGGCCTTTGCTTCAAACAAAAGATAAAACACACTGTAAGAAATCATAACTGATGTTAACTATGATGCTTATCATTAACAGGATTACATATGTCAAAGGCAGAAAAAGCTGCTAAAACATCAAACATTAAAAGATTTGGAATTTCACAAGACTTTACAAGGACTCATAAAACATTTAAAATATGTCATGTTTAAAAACATGTTTATATTTTTTTTAACCTAATTTCAAACCTCACTACATGTTCTTAAGTCACAAGCAGGAATCTGTGTTTTCAGCATTTTCTAAACTGAAAACAAATATCCGGTGAAATGAACATTTTAAGTCATTAAAAAACTGTAGCTACACGGTAGGCAACTAAATACATTGAAGCCAGTTATTACTAGAATTATTAGGATTGAAAGCAGCTAAATTAGTCATTTCTTATTGGAGAGAGTTGAATTATAGAAAGACCATGTTGTCCTCTGCACAATGACCTCTCAGCCACTCGACCCTAAAAGAGGAAGAAAAGCAAGTCAAGCTCAGTAAAACATCATATCTTGTTTGTTTCATTGGCCAGGATAACGCTACCTGTTTATCAGCTTATTATCTGAACAGATATGAGAGTTTTATTGGTGTTCTCATCTACCTTTCAGCAAGAAAGCAAATAGGTGTATAGGTGTGTCAAAGATATTGCTTTAAATACTTTATTAAAGTATAGAAATATCTCCCTTATTTAGAAAAACTCAAACCAGAATACCTTCCTCTTCCTCCTGCTTTTGCTTGTGAAAAGTCTGTCCATCCGTCTCAACCCAGCGGAGTTTGAAGTCTGGTAATCCATGTTTCTCCAGTTTAGCATGCAGCTGCAGAGGAACAAAAATAAAAAAACTGTGAATATCACATCACAACAACCTTTACCACGTGTCTTCCTTTGCTGTTCCTCCACTGGCAGAGAATGTAATGATGAAAATAAGGACGTAATCCAGAGATTTCTAACTTTCCTGGGATTTTAATGCGTTTTATTTTATTTTGTGGAAAATTTAAATCTACACAGTGTATGGGCGCTAGTGTCTTTTTTAAACATCTGTCTAAAATAAACAGTATGTTTATTTGATATAATGTTAGCATGTGTTACTTCCAAACCAAGGAGAATATCTTTATGTTTCTACATTATTTTGTGGGGTTAGATTAGAAAAAGCCACGTTCTAGCACATCAACTGAGCTGATCCTACATGCTATATGCTCTATATACACAGTGTGTGTGTATATATATATATATATATATATATATATATACACATGTATGTATGTATGTATGTATGTATGTATATATAAATATTCATTACATGCGTAAATTTAGGGTACCTGCTCTAAAATCTGTTGCTGGACAGCAGGATCATTCAGGTCGGCCTCAGACTGAAACTTTAACTTGAAAGTTTTTTTGTGCCGAATTTTAAACTCTTCACAAATAAAATAGTGCTTTGAATTGCAGTCAACATCCCACCACGTTCCTGTGGTTGTGTTGAGTGCAGCACACGATTCCATAGTGTCCCAATTGATTTTGGGCTGGCCCTCATTCCAGTTAGAGAAGACTGATCTGCTCTGGTCAGACCAGCGAGCCCACTTTGCTTTGAAGAGACCGATCCAGGATGTTTCTGACAGCAATGAAGAGATGTTATTATTCTCAAGATTGTTCCTCACACTGGCGAGGCCTGTGTAGTTGGACATACAGTACAAATTAGCGTCTTTCCAAGACATTTCAGTTGTCACTAAAATGTACGTGGATGGACCTTGTTCTGAAAGAAAACAAAAGGAAAATAAGGAAAACTGGTTATGGTGGTTATTAAAGTAAAGGATGATGCATTTACATCTTCAATACTGTCAATAGCTGATGTACTGAATCAGGCAAAGGCATTGATTCCATTGTAATTACAATCAAGATCGTGTACAATAATATAATCACATATTTTTATAAATATGAAAATGTCACATGATAAATATGTCCAGTTGTCCAGTTTTAACAGTATTTCTCTACTGTGGCAATGTAGGTGTTTCCACCACTCTGATCCAACTATTTGATAGATAATTGTGAAATTTTGTACAGATATTCATGGTCCCCAGTGGATAAATCCCCCTGACTTTGGTGATTTGGTGGCTTTTGGCTCTTAGCACTGCTAAGTAGAGTCTTCACAGAGCAGTTATTGTACAAGTGTACCCTGACTTTCAGAGATGAGCTCTTTGCCTTTTATTTTACCGAAAAGAGAAAATAAAGGGTTAAAAAGATCCACAAGGATATTAGCCGAATGTATTGCCGAAGACAGATGGCTGACAGTTCTCAGATTTAAGGACAGGTAAAACATTCAAATATAAACCTCACAATTTGTCCCTGTAAATGTTTCTACACTGGATACACAGAGAGAAACACTGAAGACAGATCAAAAATCAATTATAAACCTACCTATCTGTACCCACTAAACCAATATGTCCAACTAAATGAATGCGTTTCACATAACTTTTTTCCTTGCATTGCCTGAAGAATATTTTCTTTGTGTGGAAATTCTAATAGAGCAACTCTGAACTGAACTGAAGTCTTCTTACCATAATAGCAGACTGCAGGATGTTTTGCTCCACTTGCAGTGACATACCAAAGCCCGTCTGCTGTCATCGCAGTGCAGATTTTGTTGTTGGGATTAGGGACAGTTTGATGTGGTACCCAGTTGCTGAAATCTGTGTCATTGTTGAAGTCTGCATTTCCCAGCGTCCACTTCCATCTGGTCAGGTAATCATAAAGTCCTATCCATGCATATTCTCCATCGCCCTGTAATATACGCTGCAGCCTGTCGTGGTCATCTTGATTTTCTACAGTGGCGAGGTCAGTGAACGTCTCTCTGCAGTAACTCTGAGCTTCAGCCCAGGTCTTTAATATCTTTATATAGTGGTACTTTCTAGTGATCTTTGTAGACAGTGTAGACAACCCTGATGGATAAAGGACTGTTTTTCATTTACATTCGTATAATACTGTAATACAATAATAATACAATGATCACTCTTTATGGAGACTGTCCATTCACCCACTGCAAATGTGTGTCTACCTCAAACCTTTAAATACGACATTCACACACAATCACTTTTCTGACCTGAGAGAATGAGGACAAACAGTAGTGTCTTCTTCATCCTTGAAACAGAAACATGCGCAAAACATTGTCATCAACTTGTATTTTATAGGGCCAGTAACAGAACATGGTTTTGCCATTTCAGCATTATAGCTGAGTGTGTGTGTTATTGGCATAAAAGGTGAAATTCTATGACTTTCAAATGTATTTCTAAATTAATTTTTTTTAATTTTTCATAAATATGAGGGGTAATTCTGGTTTTCTAAGTAGAGTGGGAAACAAATCATACAATTTCAGTGCTATCACTGTCTAAGGTTATATTATAGTAGAGGAAAAAGATTTTTTTTTAAAAAGACACAAGATCATTAGGCCTACCTTGTAGTTCCAGCTTTTGTTTCTGCAGTTTGTTTGTACAAATGTCAAGCATTTAGTCAGTATTCACTTACTTTTATTCAGTTTCTCTCCTCCTTCTCTAAAGTAATTATGCAAACCCAGTATCACTGACTTAAGGCGTTACCAAAAGAGGATTGAGAAAACAAATCAAGATGATGAAATTGAGCAAGTGACCTTTAACTCGGTCATTAAGAAAATTACAACCCAAAGACATTAAGGTAACACGTATTACTCTTTCCCATATGAAAAGGTTTATAACAATCAGACTGGAAAATCTATCCAGTATTATTCTGTTAGGGATCGTGGGGAGCTGGAGCCTATCCCAGCATGCACTGGTGGAGAAGCAGATAGATACATACAATTCATTACAGAGCTGTTTCAGTAAAAAATATTATGTGTAAAATGTACTTAAAGTATCAAAAGTAAAAGTGTTCATCTGTAACACTGCATCATCTTTTCAAAACAGTGAAAGTAGAAGTTGAAGTATAAAGTAAAAGTAAATGCTACTGACAAATGTTACTTCATCGCAGCAAAAGTATTGTCTTACACTGTATGTCATTGTGTGCTGGACATTTGTTGGTGCATGTCAGGAAAAGAACATCTAAACTAAAGAGGATCCATATTTGCTTTCTATTAGTGGTTTAGGAAATCCCGAAGTAATTATGTAAAAACCAGCCTCTTGGTCCCATTGGTGGTGAGCAGAGCTTGAACTATATTTTCATGGACTATCAGGGGGTGAAATGAAGCATGTGACCTTCTGCATAGGGTCATTCACACTATTATGTAAGCAAACTACAGGTGGAAGACAGTTTACAACCATCGCAAGCACTGTACCATTATCAGTCATTATAACCCTTATCATACAGTAATAATAACAATATAACATGGTCAACTTAAGAACATTTGATCAAATTACATTTAAAAATACACGGGAAATTGACAAAAGAAATATTTCTACATGTTCATCTTTTCCCTTTAGACAACTGAAAGTGATGCAAAAGATATTTTAATTCAATGACTTTGTGTTTTCTTTACACATGTCTAGAGTAATTACACTAACCTGCTTTACATCTACTGTATACACCGAACAGCCATTACATTGTGGGCACTGACAGGGGAAGTGAATAACACTGATTATCTGGTTATCATGGCTCTTGTCAGTGGGTGGGATATATTAGGCAGCAAGTGAACATTTTGTCCTTAAGTTGATTAGTAGTGTTAGAAGCAGGAAATGGGCAAATGTAAGCATTTAAACGAGTTTGACAAGGGCCAAATTGTGATGGCTAGACGACTGGGTCAGACCATCTCCAAAACTGCAGCTCTTGTGTGGTGCTCCTGGTCTGCAGTGGTCAGTATCTATCAAAAGTGGTCCAAGAAAGGAAAAGTGGTGAACCGGAGAGAGGGTCATGGTCAAGGCTCTTTGATGCACGTGGAGAGTGAGGGCTGGCCTGTGTGGTCCGATCCAACAGACGAGCTACTGTAGGTCAAACTGGTTCTGATAGAAAGGTGTCAGAACACACAGTGCTTCACTGTTTGTTACACATATGGGGTGCCCAGGTGGTCATAATGTTATGGCTGATCGGTGTATGCATCATGCAGATGGACTAGTTTGTAATATCTGAAACATGGGCTCGTGCAGAAGGAGAATTTCAGTGTGTGACTTTCAATTCCTCTGTGACCGCAGCCATTCTTCCAGTGAGTTAAAACTGACAGCTTCCAGCTATGGATGGTCTCAATCTCAAGGCTGAAGGGCATTAAACAGATGGACAGAGCTGTCTCTTAGAAGAAACTGGCATCTGACTTGGGGAGCCATTTTTAACTGATTAACTAACTTAGAGCTCCCTCTGGTGGTCGGTTTGTGACTGCTGTATTCTGACTGTCAGAATAGTGGTTTTAGATTGAAACCTTTCTAGTAAAGGTATTTCTGTTGCATTGAGCTAAATTATTAACCCGTCATCAATCAAAGATTTTAACTTTTTTCAAGTTTATTCACTTCAATACAGTGGTACCAAAAGCAAAAGGACGCCAACAAGCTGAACAAACTCATTAAGAAGGCCGAGTCTGTTGTTGGCTCTAAGCTTGTCACCCTGGAGAAGGTGGTGGAGGACAGGATGCTGGCAAAACTGCTGGCAATCATGGACAATCCCTCTCACCCCCTCCACACTACAGTGAACAAGCTAAAGAGCAGCTTCAGCAACATACTCATTCAACCCCGCTGCTCTAAGGAACAATACAGAAAATTGTTCCTCCCCACTGCAATAAGACTCTATAACTCATCTGCCTCTGTCAGATCCACAATGACAGAACTGGACTAAATCTACCTGTGGAACATCTACTTCATATCATATGTGATATAGGTTAATATAAACCAAGTTGATATTATATATCATATTTATACAATATTTTCATCTTTTTTCACATTTCTATTTACATATTTCTATTTCTATTTCTATTTATAATATATTTTTATTGTATGTATATCTTGTATAGTCAAGTATCTATTATACATATGCTATATATGATATCATATCTAGTGTATATATATGTGTGTACATATTATATATATATATATATATATATTGCATATTGCATTATGTATGTATGCACACCTTGCACAGGCGGAATATATGACACATATCTACATTATATCAATATTAATGTATTATAAATATGTGTATACATGTATATCTGTTCAGTTCTGTTCATCATATTATATATACATATACATATTATTATTATTGTTGTTATTATTATATAGTGTTATTAACAATAACATTACCATCATATCATCAGTACTGTTACCACCATCTTGCAAATACAACTTCTTTGCACCTTATCTACCTATTTATCTTTTTTATATTTTCTATCTAAGTATCTTACTCTATTGTATTTTATTGTATTTAAATGTACCTGGCTGCTATGACGACCCAATTTCCCTTCAGGGATTAATAAAGTCTATCTCTCTCTCTCTCTCTCTCTCTATATATATATATATATATATATTGCTTTTAGAAAGAGTATACATAGAACATTGATTGACTGATTGATTGATTGTTTGATGTGATCATGTTGAATGACCTTTTGGCTTCTAGTGGCCAGTAAAGCTGTTAACACAATATTGACATATTATGGCCCTTTAAAATTCATGAGACTAATATGTAGCTCATTTACAGATCTAGCAGAAACAAAGTTAGCATTTTTGTGTTGGGTTATGTGAGTTGCATATTCACCTGTTAGCTCTATTTTGCTCTCCACCAACTCCTGAGAGAAATATCTGGCTCTTTACCTGCTAAAGGCTAGTTTACAAGCTAGTTGCTAACATGTCTGTCTGCCTTTGGTTCTATACAGATAGCATACAGTGGGTTTATCATAACCTTTTACTAAAAACAGCTGCCAGACACACTGTGTGTGAGACAGAACAAAACGATGATGCTAAAATGCTTCAAAAATCTGAGGGGAATTGAAGAACTAGGTAAAAGTCGTTTTTCAATTTGTCTCTGTGAGCAACACCTTTTATATAACAGTAATTTGATCCATTGTTCAGAAGAAAAATATTGATTTGCACAGTGTATGTTTTGAGTTTTAATTAAAACTCAAACAGCAACATGTCTACCAACATAAACCAGCTATCATCCTTGTTTGTTTCTTTGGATTTTATTTTGTTCATGTAATAGGGCATGCAATTTGTACAAATATTTTGTTCAAGGGTCTGTTATGAAATTGCAGTGTGTTCGGACACGAGTTCTATCAAGTGTTTCTTTAGCCTGTTTGCAGCCTTCTGAATCGCTACCGACAATTGCACTGCAGTTCAATCATCAGGCTAAGGTTTCTTCTTATTCCATGGATCATTTTACAGCCTTTAGGTGAGAGTCGCTTTGACCTGTTTGTGTTTGTGGAGAACCAGTTCTGTCTTTCCCCTAAGCTGATTAGGTTAAAATTCTGATACTTAACTTCATTGCTCTCAAAAGGACATAAAAGAATGTAATTTTAAATTTGTCATATCTTATATCTTTAAAGAACATTACATCAAACAGAGAGAGAAAAGGCAGGACGAAAACTTAATTAAAGATCTGAGACAAATATCTATGTAGAGTTTGCGTGTGTGTGTGTGTGTGTGTGCTGAGAGACAGAGAGACAGAGAGACAGAGAGACAGGGAGAGACTCTTGTGGGTGTTAACAGTAATATATCAAGTCAATGGAGTGAAACGAATGTGTACTCTGAATCATCTTCTCCAATGTTGGCATGAAAAACTGCCAATCCTCTGAATGACCGATGCTGGTCCGGCATGCTCAATTTAGTGTTTGGTTGTCTGCCTGAATGTGAATGAGGAAGGGTGTGTGTGCATGTGTGTGTAATTCAGTTAGGTATAGACATAAAAGCATATTTTAAGGTGTTTTTCTCTATGCAATTAGTGTATGCCTGTACTCATAACCTTTTATATACACATTCAATACAGTTTTATTATGTACATGCTTCAGACACCAGATGGCAATGTTGCCTTTAAGATTAATGTCCATTCCCAAGCCACATTCTCCTCCTCCCCCTCCTCTTCCTCTCCTTCCCTTCAGCTCGGTGGATCCGGCGCGACAGTCGGATCCTCTCGCCATGCCGGTCACGCCCCACACAGATATCAGCCTGTTTCTCCAAAACACACACACTCTATCACATCTCTCATAAACACTGACACACTGTCTATCACACACAGACATCTCAAAGCTGGCAAACCGTCCCGCATTTTACCCCCAAATTCAATTCCAAGTCCCACACCAAGCTGCGGCTTTTACGTGTCTAATTTCAATAAAGTTAAAAGCCTCCAATCATATCCAAGTGTTTCCAAGCCAAATGGTAAGACATCAGCCCACTCAGTCCTATTTTTAACCATTATTACAGTCATCAGTGTGTGAAAAGCTGGATGGCAGGAACACAGAGCTCAGGTGGAAGATAGACCGATTCATCGCAATTGATCAGCCAATTGAAACCAAACCGAAAATTGGGTTTGGTGGCTGTCTGC